CGCCCGCCCCGCGGCGCAGCGGCACAGAGCCCTCTCCTCCTCCATCTTCTTCTTCTTCTTCTTCTTATTCTTCTTCTCCTCCTCCTCCTCCTCCTCCTCCTCCTCCTCCTCCTCCTCCTCCTCCTCCTCCTCCTACTACTCGCCCTCCTCCTCCTCCTCCTTCTCCTCCTCCTCCTGGCCCTCCTTCTTCCTTCCTCCTCCCTCTGCGTTTTCTTCCGTCTTCGGCCTCTAGAGTATGCCTCCTGGCCCCAGGGCCGTCAGAAAACCACTCAGGATGGGAATCTGGCTCGGCAGCAGCACCACCACGTTCCACAAATGGGGCGAGCCTCCCCACCCTGAGAGGCACTGCTCAGTTTTACCTGCCGCCGAGAAGAACCCCGCTCGCCACAGAATTTCGCTCTCCTCGCATACTTTTCAGCCTTCTCCCCCTAGCAGCCTGCAGGCCATGACCCCTGGAGTCTTCGCCCCTGGTGCCCTCTCCTCCTCTTCCCTTCCTCCTCCTCCTCCTCCTCCCTCCTCCTCCTCCTCCTCCTCCTCCTCCTCCTCCTCCTCCTCCTCCTACTCCCTCCTCCCTCCTCCCTCCTCCTCCTCCCTCCTCCTCCCCCTCTTCCTCCTCCTCCTCCTCCTCCTCCTCCTCCTGCTCCTCCTCCTCCTCCTCCTCCTCCTCCTTTCTACTCCGCAGAGCGACACACACAATTCCGCTTGTGCAGGGCCCGGCGTGCCGCCGGGGCCGCCGCGTGCAGCTCCCGACCTTTCCCCGGAAGGGGTCCCCAGGAGGCCCCCCAAGACGCCCCAGGAATTGGAAGCTTGGAAATTGACACCAACACCAACTCAGTGCGTTGCCTCCACCAGGGGAAGATGATCCTAGATTTCGGTGTTGGTGGCAATCTTTCGGCCGCCTAGGAAGCCAGAATATTACCACCATCACCGATATTGGGATACTCTTCCCTCGGTGGAGGCACAACGCCGATATTGGTGCTGGTGTCAACCTCTAGGCCTCCGAAGGAACCCCCCAGGAGGTCCAAAAGGGGCCCCAGGAAGCCTCCAAGAGGCCGAGAAGAGGCCCCGGGAGGCGCCCAAGCGGCGACCACGAGGCCTCTGATCTGGCTCCCTGCTCTTGCTGCAGCGGCCAGCTGGCACACAACCGCCCCTACAGCCCAAGGCCGGCAGAGTTGGTTTCGAGCGCCCAGAGCTCGAAGCAGCCAGTTTCGAGCATGACCCACCAGTTCGAATCCTTCGTGGCGTGCGGCCGCTTCCTTTCTGGACCGAGCAAGACTAGGACCGCTGTGGGTTCGGAAGGGGCTCGATTGTGCTTCGGTTCTTCCGTGGTTGCTGCTCTAGCGCTCCTCGTCCACGCAGGCGCTCTTGGGGCGGAAAGGGGGCTTCGTTGCTTACTCAGCGTCCCTCATCGTGAGAAGCTTCTGGCCGATGCCGCCGACCCTGAATGCGGGACCTCCCCCGGGACCCCCGCTGGCGACCCCCCCCCCCGGGACCCGCCTGGACCCCAGAGGGGGGCGGTGTTTCGACCCGGGACCACCCTCCCCCACCACAGGCGGGACCTCCCCCAGGGCACCCCGCTCTGCAGGACCCCGGCGCGGAGCCCCCCCTCTCCTCCCTGCCCACACGGGGGGGGGGGCCGGGGAGGGGAGGAGGGGGGGGGGGCGCCGGGACACTGGGGTGGGGGCGGTAACCTGTCCCGGGACCCCCCCCCCCCCCGCACGCCCCTCCGCACCCCCCCCCGTCAGGGGGGGGAAGGCGGGGAGGGAGTCGACTTCATTACGACGTTTCTTTTCTCTGTTCGTTCCTTATTTTCGTTGGGACTGGAGACGACGAAGACGACGACAGCGTCTCACACACGCCGAAGGGTCGGCGCATTACAGCAGCCCGACTGTACAGTTCTTTTGCAACGTATCGCGCGTAGTACGCTTCCCAAGGCCCCCTACGAATCCCAGACTGTGCTGCCGCGCCGGAGGCCTTCCAAGCAGCGGCGATCGCTGTGGAGCTTCAGAGGTGTCCTCTGCAGGGGGTGTCCGTTCGTTCCCTCGCCCAGTCTCGGCGACGAGCGAGGGGGGAAGTGAGAAGGAGAAGGAGGTCCTCTCAGAAGGTGGTGGCGGGGCTTCTCAGAAGCCCTCGGGCCTTTGAGCTTTTTTATGTTTTTGGGGAAGGCTCAGGACACTTCTCAGAAGGCCGGGGGACTTCCGAGCCTTCTGAGAAGGCCCGCCCCTTCTCCTTTCCTCCCTGGGCTCGCCACCGATAGGATATCGAATCCAGAATTGATCAGCCCCAGGTTTTGTCGTCGAAGCGACGACACAAGCATATGCTGTCAGTAGTTATACTGGCGCTGTGCCCAGTTTGTTTCGCATATGGGGCGGCAAAGCAACTTCAGGGTGCATCAATTCTGTAGTCGATCTCCTGCTCGAGTTCTACCCCGATGGGCCGCACCCGACGCTGCAGAGGTGCGTGCGCATTTGGGATCTTGACAAGAGCATTCCGCTCCCTCGCCCCGATGGCTGGTTCTGCAGGACATCTCGGCGAGATCCTGTCCTGCGCGATTCTCGGGAGTGCCCTGCAAGCTCGTGCGGGCGGGTGGACCACCACCCATCCCACGCACAGTCTGGACCAGCGTCGGGCCGGGCGAACGGGGGGGATTGGGAAAGGGGGGGGGTACGAGATCTGCTGCATGCAGCTGGTTTCGGCCTCACCGAGGGGCCCACTCCTCGATATACATAGCCGCCTCCGGCGCCGGGAGGCGCCGGGAAAAAATCCGCTACGTGAGCTGATTCTCAAACCCCCCCTTTGCTGTCCCCCCCCTCTCGCCCGACCCGACCAGCGGGGTGCTGCTTCCAAGCTGCGACGGGCCACCCGGTTCGATTTCCCGTCCCATGCACAGTCTGGACCAGCGGGGTTCTGGAGGAGGAGGAGGAGGAGGAGGAGGAGGAGGGAGGAGGAGGAGGAGGAGGGAGAGTAGGGAGGAGAAGGGAGGAGGAGGAGGAGGAGGATGAGGAGGAGGAGGAGGAGGGGGAGGAGGGAGGTGCTTCCGCTGCTTCTCGGGCCACCCGCTTCGCTCTCCTCGGCTCCTGCGTCGCTCGGCCCCGTCCTCGCTCCCTCCCCCCCAGGCCTGGGCGAGGAGAGTGACCGGCCACCCGGGGGCCCCTCCCCCTCCTCCTCCTCCTCCTCCTCCTCCTCCTCCTCTCCTCCCCCCTCCTCCTCCTCCTCCTCCTCCTCCTCCTTCTCCTCCTCCTCCTCCTCCACTCTTGCAGTGCATTCCCTGGCCCCCCCCCAGCATTACCGCGCGCAGCGGTCGCGCCAGAGCGACCCCGCCTCCGCATCTGCCTCCACACGTAGCCGCAGCCGTTCGGGTTGAAGGCCGCTGCTCTGCGCGCGCTGGCCCGGCTACGGGCGCAACACTGTCCGCAACTGGGTGGGAGCAGTCTCCTCCTGTTCATTCTTCTTCGTTTCCTCCTCCTCGTCCTGATCATCCTTCTTCTCATCCTCTTTCTCCGTATTATCCTGTTGCTTCTCCTTCTCCTTTGCCTTCTCCTTCTTCTTCTTCTCCTCCTCCTCCTTCTCCTCCTCCTCCTCCTTCTCCTCGGGCCTCGAGTATGAACCAGCAGCTTTCCTACCGTAAGGTCCATGCTGTAATGTTTGTTTGGGCAGCCGGCTCCGCCATGGGCCCTATCCACAAAGTGCAAGGGCACATGACGGAAGAGGCAATGATCCGTACTTTGCGCCTGGTGCAAGGCGGGAAACGATTTGGACGACCATTGTGCCAAGCTTGGCGCATTGACCCACGAGAGGCCCAGCGCCGAGCAGGCAGCGTGGCTCCAGAGCGCCCTTGCGATTTGCCGTGAGGTTTGTGTGTGTTGGCTGCCCGTGTACTGCCTGCTTGGCCAGCGTGTGACCTGTCTGGGGCCACCCGTGAGAAGCCCGAGCCCCCTCCTCCGCCATCGGCGCTCGTGCGCCGCGAGTGCGAATGGCCGGACACATACTGGCAGTGCAAGCAATGTCTGCGGGTGTCCAGGTCGGTGTGGCACCCCTACTGGCGTTTGCACGAAGACCCACAAGCTCCTGGGGAATGAGCTTCAGGAGCTAGGACATCCTTGCCTAGCCTTGCGTTGCTCCGACGGCAGTGCTCTGGTTGTGTGCCCCTCGCGCAAGGCCTTTCCCTCGTGAGGGTACGTCCGAAACCTCCACAAGCCATGCCTTGGGAAGCCCCATAGCATGAAGTCGGGAAACTATTAGTGGCACCGTAGCACCTCTGGCAAGCATCCCAAGCTCGACTCAGTCTGGCTTGACAAAGATGCTCTTCTCAGCGTGGCGCGCCTGTTTGAATGAGCGTCGGCTGGCCCAGCCTCCTGGCTTTTGTATTCGCAAGGGCACGGGGGTATAGCCCGGACGAATTGCCTGCAGTGTCCACCCTGCAGGCTACATTCGCCACTCCTCGCTGGTGGCTGCAGCCCGCGGGTCTCCCCGCTGGCTGCTGTGCCGCGGGCCGTCCTGTGGGCCGTCGTGGGTGATGCGGGCTCGATCTGGGGCCCCAGGCCGTCCTCTTCACTGCTGCACCTGTGTCGGTTCGCTCCCCTCTGCCTGCACGGCCGTGGGGCGCTGGAGGTAGTTCTCCCCCTGCGGCGGCAGCTGGCGCGGAGGGACAGCCCGTCGCAGTCACTTTCTTATCTGCCGAGCTGGTCGGCGAGCTCGATCTGGGGTCTCGAGCCGTCCTCTTCGCTGCCGCTCCCGCTCGGCTCTCGGCCGCCTGGCCGCCCGCAGGGTCGAAGCTCGTCCCCTCTGGGCCTGGCCTCCTCCTCCCCCTCCTCCTCCTCCTCCCTCCTCCTCCTCCTCCTCCTCCTCCTCCTCCTCCTCCTCCTCCTCCTCCTCCTCCTCCTCCTCCTCCTCCCCCTCCTCGGGGGAGCTCAGGTTCTGAGCTCCCCGACGGTGGCTCCTAGGGCGGCTCTATTTGCCGACACGTCGTGGGCGCAGTCTCCTGGCCTGGCCACGGGGGCATGCCCTGTCGTGCGGCCTGCGTGGCTCGCCTGTGCAGGCATCGGCGCCGCCGCCGCAAGGTCGGCGGTATGTGGCCTGCAGTCGCCTGCAGGCAGGGTGTTTCAGCTGTCTCGTGCGCCGCCCAGCAAACGCGTAGAGGCGGCTTTTGGCCGCACTCGGCGGCCACCTGGGTGCACCCCCAGGCTTGAGAGCGTGCTGCGGCAATTCCTCCCTCTCCTTCTCCTTCTCCTTCTCCTTCTCCTTCTCCTTCTCCTTCTCCTTCTCCTTCTCCTTCTCCTTCTCCTTCTCCTTCTTTTCCTCCTCCTCCTCCTCCTCCTCCTCATGAGTATCCTTCTCCTCCTCCTCCTCCTCTTCCTCCTGCTCCTCCCCCTCCTGCCTCTCTGCGAAGAAGGTAGGCTCCCACTTCGTCCACGTCGTGGTCGTCGTTGTCGTTCTCCACCTCCTCCTCCTCCTCCTCATCCTTGTCGTTGTCGTCGTCCTCCTCCTCCTCCTCCTCCTCCTCTTCCTTCTCTCCTCCTCCTCCTCCTCCTCCTCCTCTCCTCCTCCTCCTTCCTCCTCCTCCTCCTCCTCCTCCTCCTCCTCCTCCTCCTCCTCCTCCTCCTCCTCTCCTCCCCTGCCCTCCCCCCTCTCCGCATCGTCCCCCCCCGCTCGCAGGAGCCAGACTACATCCGGCAGCAGCGGCAACGGCTCGAGGCGGTCAAGCGGCGGGAGGCTCCTTGGCCGGACAGACCAAAGGGCCCGTGCGAACGTCAAGTTGGGGGCTGCGCCGCAGGCCCCCCGCAGTGCGCCACGCTCCCGAGAGGGCGCCGGCCTCCAGGGATCGACCCCTCTCCTCCTCCTCCTCCTCCTCCTCCTCCTCCTCCTCCTCCTCCTCTCCTCCTCCTCCTCCTCTCCCTCCTCCTCCTCCCCTCCTCCTCCTCCTCCTCCTCCTCCTCCTCCTCCTCCTCCTCCTCCTCCTCCTCCTCTCCTCCTCCTCCTCCTCCTCCTCTCCTCCTCCTCCTCCTCCTCCTCCTCCTCCTCCTCCTCCTCCTCCTCCTCCCCTCCTCCTCCTCCTCCTCCTCCTCCTCCTCCTCCTCCTCCTCCTCCTCCTCTCCCCCCCCCCCTCCCCCTCCCCCCCCCTCCTCCCCCTTTGGTCAAGCGCCTTTCTGGCGGAACGCCAGCGGAGAGCCGGCGGGAGCCAGCGGACGCGCCTTCCTCAGGGCGTCCCCGCCAGCGGAGGCTGGCGGAAGTGGAGTGTGTCCGCCAGGAGACGCCACCGGGTGTCAGTATCGTTCAGCCGATCCCCATCCCCATCCGCTCCTCCCCCCATCCAGAGCCCCACCATCTCGCTCCCCCAGTTGGGCATATACGCCTCGAGACCCGAAGGAAACGGCCTGTATCCCCATCTAGGTGGGTAAATCGTCCAACTGGGCCCATGCCACGCCGCTGGGGATAGGGGTCAGTCAAACGATGCTTAATTGCTTCGATTCAAGGTTTCTGACGTGAGTCACCTGTACTTGTGCGCGCTGTGTTCCCTTTTTTGCTCCTCCGCCTCAGCGTGCTATCCTCTGTGGCCACGACGCGCTCCTCTCGGAGCCGGCATTCTGTCTGGGTTCGACGCAACAGGGTCAGCAGAGCATCTGGTGCATCAGTGATAAATGCGGACGGCGCTCGCCGCTCGTCTGGGGGTATCATTCCGCCCCCTGATGACGCTTATCGGGCCCAGACTCGTCACCCATCGATTGTGCGGGCCCTGTTGATATACTCCAGAGTTCGTAATAAAAGGGAGGGGGTCTGGGCCCTCCAAGACAGGCCATTTCAGACCCCCCCCCCTGGGAGAACCCTCCACAACATCGTCCCCAGACCCCCCCAGGCCCTCCAAGATAGCCTGGAGGAGACCCCCCCCCGAAATGACACCCCCCTCCCTTTATTACGAAATCTGGAGTAGACTAGTAAATGGGCGAACCGCTTTGTTCGCGTGCGCATTTGCGCACAACTATGTGTGAATGTCGGAAGGTGTATGGCCAGGGGCTACGTGCAGGTGCGCATGCGCATGTCAACGTCTGTGTAGAGTGTGCGTGCTTGCATGCCACTTGAAATGTACACGCTGCTATACACAAGTCGAAATTATTCCCCCCTGGATGGGCGGACCCAGGACTAGACTTGTTCCCTGTGGCCCCGAAGGCTCACGAAGTGAGGCCTTTCGTCGCTTCTGCTTACCTTTCCGTGAGGCTCCCATGGCCCAACAAGCGAGACCTCGTCGCCGCCACGATTGCCAGCCAAAAGCAGTGCCCCAAGCGGTGCCCCGGCTGGCGAAGCAAAAAAAGCCAAGCATTTCAGGACTGCGTTCTACTTTCCGATGTTCCGAAATTCCGAGTGTCTCTGTCGAAGAGAGCGCCTAGAGAGCCGTGGAGAGGCAAGCGCGCGCCGAAGCAGGCTCCCAGAAGGCCCCAGTAGTGGCCCCAGAAGGTCCCAGGAGGCGTTTACGATGACCTGCGAGCCGCCAAGACGGCCCCGGCA